GTGCAGCCAAAGGCAGAACAGTTAGCATGTTTTGCTCAAACTTTCGTCATGGCATTAGAACTAGTACACCGTTGTCGCTTGCAAAAACACAATGAGGCGCCGTGGGTGTAAACTTACAGATTGAGGGGTGGTAATATTATAATGAGATCCCTTTGCCACGTCACCAAGGGAGCGAAATCAGACGCGCTCGTTTTCTCAGATGCTTGCAGAAAAAGGCTTACCAAAACAAAGTTACTGGGTTAATCTTTTTCACGTTTCCTTGGTTGGTAGATGCACCGGGGACCTGATTATAGCACTTAAAACCTGGAAAAGTCAGATTTTCATGATATGTCACCTTTAAGTGACTTGCCTGGTTAAATAATGATTAATATAATATAAGGTTTTTAATTAAATATAAAATACATTTAAATTTAAATAAATTTATTTTGTAGCTGTTCGTGCTGATCAAGAGCTGCTGGGAGGAAGATCCAGAGAAGCGTCCAGACTTCAAGCGGATCGAGGGCGCTCTGGGGAAGATCTTCAGGTGCGTGAGTGATGCCAGAAGCTCGCGTTTGATCAAGTTTGGTGGTCGTGAATGTGTGCTGATGTGTTGCTTTGTGTTTCTGCAGTAACCTTCACAACCAGGCCAATGCCAGCTACATGGACAACCTGATCCGCCGGCTGCAGATGTACTCGAGGAACCTGGAGCACCTGGTGGAGGAGAGGACAGCTCTGTATAAGGCCGAGAGAGACCGAGCCGACCAGCTCAACTTCATGCTGTTGCCGGGGTCAGAAACACACACACACACACACACACACAGAAGACACTAGCAGCTGCCTAACAACACTATGGCAATCACCTAGGACATTTTAGTAATTGCTTAGCAACACCGGAGCAACCTCCCAGGATATCTTAGTAACTTCCTAGCAACCCCATAATCATGCCCTAGAAATTGCTCAGCAACTGCATAGCAATGCCGTAAAATTGCCTAGCAACCACCCATTGCACCCTAGCAACAACCTAGCAATGACCCAAAAACTGCCTAGCAACCACACAGCAATTCCCTAGAAACTGCTTAGCAATACCCCAGCAACCACACAGGATACGTTACCAAATTGTCTAGCAAACGTATAGCAATGCCCTTGAAACTTGGCAAACAGATAGCAATGTCCATAGTACCTGCCTAGCAACACCCTGACAACTACCCAGGACACCCTAGAAACTGCCTAGCAACCACATAGTGATGCCCTAGCAACTGCCTAGCAACCACATAGCAATGCCCTAGAATCTGCTGAGCAAACACATAGTGGTGCCCTAGCAACTGCCTTGTATGGCACACTAACGACATCCTAGCAACTGCCTAGCAACCACATAGCAATGCCCTTGAAACTGCTATGCCACAGCAACTGCCCAGCATCCACATAGTGATGCCCTAGCAACTGCCTAGCAACCTCGAATGGCACACTAGCAACATCCTAGTAACCACCCAGGACACCTTAGCAACAACCTAGCAACCAAATAGTGTCCTAGCATCTATCTTACAACCACCCAGGACAACTTACCAAATTGCCTAGCAAACGTATAGCAATGCCCTTGAAACCTGGCAACCACATACTAATGCCATAGTACCTGCCTAGCAACACCCTGACAACTACCCAGGACACCCTAGAAACTGCCTAGCAACCACATAGTGATGCCCTAGCAATGGTGTTACCACCCAGGACACCCTAGCAAATGCTTAGTAACCACGCAGCAATGCCCTAGCAACTGCCTAGCAACTGCTAGGCATCCATCATGTGTTTCTAGGCGAGTGGCAGACGTGACCCTGATTTGACGCAATAAACCCTCATAAACCAGAAAGATTCTGTTCGGTCTCTCTTATAGTCCAGTGGTTCGCTCTCTGAAGGAAACTGGTTGTGTGGAGCCAGAGCTGTACGACGAGGTCACCATCTACTTCAGCGACATTGTGTGCTTCACAACCCTCTGCCATCACAGCACACCCATGGAGGTGGTGGACATGCTGAATGACATCTACAAGAACTTCGACAGCATTCTCGACCATCATGACGTCTATAAGGTGCACAAACACACAAGATGTGTTCAGATGCTCAGAGATAACAGCTAGCAGACAATTGTTTTTATTTTAATATTTTAAAATTAATATTTTAAAATAAATAGCCTGAACTTGCCACTGTGTTCAGGTGGAGACCATCGGTGACGCGTACATGGTTGCGTCTGGTCTGCCAAGACGCAACGGAAACAGACATGCCGTGGACATTTGTCTCATGGCTTTGGACATCCTGAAGTTCATGGGGACGTACCAGCTTAGACACCTGCCGGGAATCCCACTGTGGATCCGTATCGGGATCCATTCAGGTACATACACATGGGAGGATGGATAAAGAGACAATGTTTATACATATAATTTACTAGGAATCAATTCCATAACATCTTGAGGATGGTGGCAGTGACACCTACAAGTCAAAATGCTTAAAAACAACCACAAATTATTTAAATATCAAGCTACATCATGTCAAATACTGACTTTTCAAGCTTCTGCCATTCTGAACCAATTAGCTACCCAGAAGACCCTTGCAACTGCCCAGCAATCACAAAGCAATGCCCCAGCAACCACATAGCAATGCCCCAGCAACTGCCCAGCAAACACATAGCGCTGCCCCAGCAACCACATATCAATGCCCAAGCAACCACATAGCGATGCCCCCAGCAACTGCCCAGCAAACACATAGCAATGCCTCAGCAACTGCCCAGCAAACACATAGCGATTCACCTGCCCAGCAACCACATAGCGATGCCTCAGCAATTGCCAGGCAGCTGCATAGCAATACCTCAGCAACTACATAGTGATGCCCTAACAACTGCCCAGCAAGCACATAGCGAGGCCCAGCAACTGCCCAGCAACCACATAGTGATGCCTCAGCAACTGCCAGGCAGCTGCATAGCAATACCCCAGCAACTACATAGTGATGCCCTAACAACTGCCCGGCAACCACGTAGCGAGGCCCAGCAACTGCCCAGCAACATCAGCTTGAAAATCTTTTTTTTGTATATATAAAATTATAAATGATGGTAAATAGACTCAAGATAATAATGTGCAGTCGGTGTAGTCACTAACTTACTCTCACTAGTCACATGTGTGTGTGTAGGTCCATGTGCGGCTGGTGTGGTGGGTAATAAGATGCCACGTTACTGTCTGTTTGGAGATACGGTCAACACGGCATCACGTATGGAGTCTACAGGCCTGCGTAAGACGCAAACACACACATTCACACACACACACACACACACACACACACTGAGTGAAACAGCTGATGTGTTTCCAGCTCTGAGGATTCACGTGAGCGAGTCGACCATCAAGATCCTGCAGCGAACCGACTGTCAATTTGAGTGCGAGCACCGAGGAGAAACATACCTGAAGGTGAGAGGAGAGTCGGCGGCCAATCACAGGCTCTTATATTACCTTCCAGCCAATCACAATCTCTTATTTTAGTCTACTTGGACAATCACAAACTGTTAATGAAGAGTTAAAAATAAAAGCAGAAACTCATAGCGCGTGTGTTTGCGTTTCAGGGTAAAGGAAAGGAGATGACTTACTGGTTGACAGGAGTCACCGGGCAGAAATACAACCTGCCGACACCACCAACAGCGTAAGACTTCCAGCACTCGTCTTGTGATCATAAAATACTCCCAGAATACATCAGTAAATCTTTTACACATGCTGGAGTTATTATCAGCGCAACATAAGGCCACCATTCACAGCAACTGATGTTATTTTAATACAACATAGCATTTCAGACACAATATCTTCTTTTGCTTCACCAATAAAAATGCCAAAAGAAAGAACAGAGAGTGTATATTTTTTCTACCCTCTATTTATTTTTTAAAATGCCTTTCACAAAATATATTGTAGTTTTGTAAAATCAAAAAACTGTGTTAAACCAAAGACTATAGAATACCCAAGACCTGCCACTCTTATAGTTTTGAATGGGGGAAAAATGCAACGCTCAATATGGCTGCTCTACTGAAGGAAGCCCCGCCTACTGAGTAAAAGAGCCAATCGCTATTCGGTAAAGTCATTGCATCACTGCAGATGCTGTTAGAAGTACCGGTTGCTATAGAAATACGTCAGCGTTCTGGAGACGCGCGCTTAGGACTGCGCATGCGTACTGGCTGGTCTAGCCTGAAAAATACGTTCTTTTTTTCAACGCTATTGGAGCATAATGAACAACATTTATGAGACAGTTGTTATCAGATTTCATTGGTGATTTCAAATATGAAATTTAATCGTAAGCTTGGTGAACAGTTTTGGAGAATTTTATGTTTCCCCAATCAAAGAGATAGGAGCTGCACTTGCATGCCAGAGAGGCGTTTCAAAGATGGACGCCAAGTGACATGACTTGCCTTGAAGGAACTTTGGTTAAACTTATTAATATGGAAGCTTGTTTAGGAGGAATTTTGCAACTTTATATCTCGTATTTGCAAGGATTCTGAAAAAAAAAAACTGGGATTGGGAGCTGTTAACTCGCAATTGTGATATAAACTCACATTTGCGGGACAAAAAGTTGGATTGTGAGATAAAAAGTCAAACTTAGCATTTTTTTAAAAATTTTATTCTATGGCGGAAACAAAAAAACTGAATTGTGAGATGTAAATTGAGAATTCTGAGGAAAAAAAGTCGGAAGTGCAAGTTTAGCCAAGAAAAAAAAAAATGGAATCGTGAGACATTACAATTGTTACAACAAAGTTACAATTGTAAGATATAAACTCAGAATTCTGAGAAACAAAAATGTTAGAATTACGAGATATGAATTCACAATCGCAAGAAAAAAAGTCAGAATTGTGAGATAAAGAGTCACAATTACCTTTTTTTTTGCAAGACATAAACTGAGAATTCTGACGAAGAAGTCATCATTGTGAGATAAAAATGAACAAACAATTACCTTTTTATATTTTTATTCTCTGGTTGAAACAAGCTTTCATATGTGTAAGATCAGTAATACACACAGGCACACTGATTCTCTCTGTGTGTCTTTTGCTCGTCAGAGAGAATTTCCAGCGTCTGCAGCAGGATTTGGCTGAGAGGATCGTCTCCACGCTGGACAAACGCGGGAACGAGCGTCGCAAAACTCTCTCCACTCGCCAGCGGCGAACACAGAGACACAGCAGCGATGGGCAGCCCGAATACCTGCACCTGAATGACCCCACAACATACCTGTAGAAAACACACACTCACACACACCTGTATGTATTTAACTGTATGACTGTATTCCTAACTCCTTAGATTTGATTGTTTATTCTATCATTTATTCATTCTGAATGTGTTTATTGTAATATGAATGATGTATGTAATGTACAATATGACTTCATAAACAACTGGTTCTTACTCACATAGTCAATAAAAGAACAATCTGTATTTTATTTAGATGGTTTATTAACCAAACTGGCTTATTAATGAACAATCAGTGGGGGGAAAAAAATCATACATCTGTTTTTATGCAATTAGCAGACACATTTATCCAAAGCGAGCAGAACATAAGCAATTCATCACAAAGCCAAATAAACATTAATGAACAAATATGACTCTCATCTGTGTGCTGGAGATCTCCCAAAATATACACAAGAAAATATTCATCTTTAAAAGGTTTTGTTGAGGACTGACAGATGCCACTGCTGGTGAATCGTTTTCTGCATCTCCTTCCATGTTAAGATCTCTGACAACATCATGAACTGAGATCCACAGAACTGCAGTTTTGATTTCACGAGGTCTATAGTTTGAAGTGAATATGAATACGAGCTGGATTCATAGCAAGAGTACAACTGGTATGTTGGATTATTTACCCTATGTATTAATTCTGCTGTTCACATTACTCTTCAGACTTATACAGGTTGTCCGGTTTTGGTGGTGACCAGGGCAGAGTTTCCCAATTCTGTGGCAGGAAGTGGCAGCCCATGCTCTGCCCATCCATTACACAGGCTCCGCCCACAGGGTCCCTCTTTGATTGGCATTTCCTGTGTCTGGCCATTGAAGTGCGGCCAAGGTGACGGGGCTTCCTCTTCCTGTTCTATGGTTGTCGGGGTGTGAGGCGTAGAGTCCTTTTCACCTGCGGGACAGATAGACAACACTCAGTGTGTTTACATGCACCCTCTTAATACGATTATAATGAGATTTTGGCAAGATTGCGAATAAACTTTACCTCATGTAAACGCAATACTTCGATCTAAATAATGCGATTAAGCTCATAATCGCAACAAGCATAATCGTCTTAACATACAGTAGGTGGTGTACGCAGATTTTAATCGCAATATACAGGCATGTAAACACCTTAATCGCATTATTGCCGCTCTGACATATCTATTCATGCGCATGTAAACATAGTCACTCAATACGTTTACATGGACATCAGTAATCTAATTATTTACCTTATTCTGAATAAGACAATATTACGATAAAGGTGTTTACATGAGTTGCTTTTAGAATATTCCTTTCATGTTCCCGTTTCATGTTATAGTACATAGTTTGATTAATGGCACACGTCATTACGTCCCCATGCGACACCATCCGACGTTCCCTCCAGAATTTCACGTATGCAGTTCGTCTTTGTTTTGGTGCCATACAGATCCGTTGGTCTGGTGCCATATACAGTTTTGGGTGATTCACTTTTAATTTTAAGAAAGCTTCAAGTGCAGTTAATTATTTGTCATGCTATACGTGCAAACAGAGGACAGCGTTGTTGAAGCCATGCTCTTTTGTTTGCCATCAAACGGTTGACCACTGCCATGTGCGTATCCTGTCGCAAAATGCAGCGAAAAGTCCTACACGACGGTAATAGTGCGATTAATGTATGTACATGTCGATACTGCACTTCGATAATGCGACTAAAATTGGAACTCCACATGTCTTATTTTGATTTGTGTTTACTTAGAGTATGAGTTTAGCCGGATTAAGGCAATCAAATATCTCTGTTTACATGGTAGATTCTTAATCAGAGTATTGTCTTAATCGTGTTAAAATCGGAATATTGTTGTCCATGTAAATGTACTGCCTAGTTGAGCTAATGCTATAAAGCTAATGGATAAGACACTGTAATATGCTCTGGTCCCCTCCCTGCTTACCGCGGTGATGAGATACATAGCAGACTGTCGTCACTCAATGGCTGGATGTCTAAGTGGTGCCCACAGAATAACATAGGTTTCATAGATAATTGGATGAGTTTTTGGGGCAGACCTGACCTGTTGAAAAGAGATGGTCTTCATCCCTCCTGGGGTGGTGCCACTCTTCTCTCTAGAAATATGGCACATAGTCTTAGAGTTTGTACTTGACTAACTGGGGCCCAGGTCAGGAAGCAGACAGACTGGCTAAACCAACCGTCTGCTAGCCGCCTCACGTCACAGAAATCAGTTAATTCTCAGCACATAGAAACTCTTTCACCTAGATATCACACTATAGAGACTGTGTCTGTTCCCCGAACTAGAAAATACAAAAAACGTCCAAACCAAATTAAGAGTAACAATTTAATTGATCTTCAACAAATAAAAAACAGAGGCAATATGGATAAACAAATGATAAAGCTTGGCTTATTGAATATCAGGTCCCTTTCTACGAAAGCACTTTTTGTAAATGATATGATCACTGATCATAAACTAGATGTGCTCTGTTTGACAGAAACCTGGCTAAAACCTGATGATTACATTATTTTAAATGAGTCTACCCCCCAAGATAACTGTTATAAACATGAGCCGCGTCCAAAAGGTAAAGGGGGAGGTGTTGCTTCAATTTATAACAATGTTTTCAGTATTTCTCAGAAGGCGGGCTTCAAGTATAACTCGTTTGAAGTAATGGTGCTTCATATAACATTATCCAGAGAAATATTAAGTTGAGTGCCATCTTTAAGTTCTGAGTGGGATAAATGTAACTTATGTAAAAATACTCAGAAAGTTTCTTCCTCAGAGGAGAAAAACTGTATTTTCTTATGAATCATGGTCCCATTATGATTCAGATTTCACACCTGATCTCAATGATGTCAATGTGCAATGAGATCATACAGAAGTCTGTAAGGGACTGTTAAAAAGCAAATGGAAAAACACAAGGTTTCAAGGTGTTTTTTTTTAACTGGGCATTCACACAGAACACTTTTTTTGCATTCCACTCTGCTGATTTTCTATTGTTTTCCATGTAAACATGCACTAGAGGAACATGCACACCTTTTGTAGTGTCTCACGTAAGAGCTGCGCGTTTTAAAACGCCGTGTCCAGAGTTGTTCAGCTAAAACGCGACCTTGTGTTTTCCATGTGAACGTCCTTAAAGTTCTTTTAAACTTGACACAGCGGTCTTATGCGGCGCTCATTACAACAGAACAAGAACGGAAACCCAGCGTGGTAGAAAGTAAAATAATGTTCTGTGTGATCGACGATTTCGTGTTTTCAGGTCGGTTCATGTTTACGGATATGGTGTCACAAAACAGTACTGGAATGGTCGAGCAACATACATCAGGGAAAACAACTGATTCAAAGGCAAAATTCGGGTAGCCTACGTTTGTTAGTCACAAATATTTGACCACAGAATAACATCACTGAATCACAACCACGTAGACGGGTGATGAACAGTAATAAACGCTCAACTTACTGACCTCCTGTTTAAATCTGAAACCGCAGGGGTTAAATTTAGCAAACAGGAGTGTCGTTGGGTTTTCCGCTAGCTTATAAGACCTGTTCTGCGTCCTGAGGTAACGGATGCATGTGTGTGTGTGGAAAGGAGACATGAGACATGGGACCGTCCCTGAAGACCCCCACCACCCTCTTGACCCCAACAGGGAACCGAAACTTACTAAAGTGTGTGCGTGAGGTTTCGTTGGTTAGAAACTCATTTAGGCTACTGAACAAACACGTTTTGCATTCCACCGCGCTGCTTTTCCTTAGATTTTTTCTACATAAATGTGCGCTAGATGTCCGACTGCTGTAATCACGTCTATTAGGCTATATGCGATTTCTAGACCGTTTGTTTTTGTTCCGCTGTCCTACAAAAACGGGTTCACTTATGTGCTTTAAATTCTGTTAACTAAGTTATATTAGCATACACATTAACGGTATCTGTCGACTTCACCTGCTATCGGAATTATCATAAATACGAGTTTTCTGTCCTTATGAAAATTAACCATGGTAGTAAAAGTCTAGTAACCAAGGTTTTTTTTTTTTTGGCATATTGATTATCATTTATAAACACAGTTTTACTTCAAATGCATGCATCTTTTTTTTGTTTTTATTTGTAGTAAAACAAGGTTAATTTTCGTAAGGGTAATCGGAAATTAGACATGAACAGCCTCTCAAGTCTGGTAAGTTATTAGTTTTCCCACAACAATTTCACTGATTTCTCTTGCAGTTAGAGTAGTATATTTAGGTAGGCTATATAAATAATCATGTAGATATAGGCTACTTATTTTACACAGCCGAAACAGCATTTATTTGACTGAAATTCCAGAATTGTCTGCAAGCTAGATATTGACTAGTTATCTTCAATATATTTAGGCTTTATTAAGATTTCCCCAAGAAACAGGCAAGAATGAACCTACATTATTTACGACTTCAGACGTGATAAGCAGGACATTTCTGATAAGGAGCTCTTTAAAGTCAAATGGATTCTGATTGGCTGTCAGTGTTTTTCTTGTTCATTGGCCGGACAAAAAGCACACTGAAAGGGATTCATAATGAAAGTGAGTTATATAGTCTTGGACCTTACCTGTGCTCTGTGAGGTCCTGCTGTGGCGTCTGTAGATGATGAACCAAAGCAGCAGCACCAGAACCGACACACTCACGACCAGCCCGACACAGATCCACACGCTGGGGCTGATGGAGGACCAGGACTCATCCAGACCTCTGGTGCTCAGCACCGGCTTCAGGACCGGCGGAGGAACCGCTAGAGCAACGAAAGCATCCAACTCAACATAAAACACACCATCTTACACTGATCTGCTCAAGAGTGTCACTCACCTGATGGTGTCAGTCCCAGGGATCTGTGGGAGATGCAATGCTTGAGCAGAGAATCCCACTGAGAACCAGGAGGACATGCTCTCCTCTCCATCACTACTGATAAAACTGATGAGAATAAAGGCAGAGGAGAGATCACGGGAGGTGAGAGAAACACAGCATTGTTTCACTTCTTCATTTGTGATGTCGGAGAGAATGAATCACTGAACGAATCTCTAGAGAGACAAAGAGTGAAACAGACGAGCAGAAGGAAACTGAACTTTATTTTTAACCACATGCTGTTATCTGCACTACTTCTTAAGATAGATAACGCAAACCAATGTTTAAATGGCTGAATGGGATTCATCAGATCAAGGGTCTGTATCTGCAGGGTCTTTTCTCAATATTGTCACTTTTCTTCATTGTGTGTTTGTATCAGCTGGTGTTTTGGAGATTTTTAGTGAATAGAAAATCAGTTCTATTCAAGTTCTCACGAGAGAATCACATTAACTATCAACATAATCACAAACACAATATTTACTGTCTTCATCTTCAGCACTAAGTATCTGTTGTTTTAGCATTGCAAAGCTAAAACATTTCGGTCTGTCAGATGATTTGATTGTTGTGGGGTGTGTGTGGGGTGTGTGTGGGGGGGGGATCATGCTTTGGTAAATTAAAGTTGTAATAAAAAAAAAAGTCAAATTCATGAGTTAAAAAAGCTGAAACGGACATATGGCATAATTATGAGAAAAAAATGTCAGTCAAAATGCAAATTATGAAAAAAAAAAAAAAAAAAAGGCAAATTCATGAGAAAAATACAATTACGACAAAAGTCAAAATCATGAGGTAAATGTCACATTTGAAGAAATGTCAATTATGACAAAAAGTTCAAGAAGAACATTCTTCTTGACAAAAAGCCAAATTTGAATGTTATAATTTCATAATTATGAAAAAAAGACAAAGGCAAAATTATGAGATAAAAAGTCAAAATTGACAAAATGTCAATTATGAGATAAGTAAAAATGATGAGGAAAAAATTGACAAAAATTCAAAACTATTAGGACAAAGTCAAAATTATAACAGAAAAAAAAACAGAGTAAACCACTTATGAAAAAAGTCAAAATTCTGACATACTAAATATACAAACTTCTGTCTGTCTGATGTTATGATTGTAAATTGTTTGTGTGAATGTTTCTTTCCTATGAATGATACTTGAGAGAGATATATATATATATATATATATATATATATATATATA